CGACGTTTTTCGAGGTCTCAACTTCGTACACGCGTATGTTGATGACTGCCTAATCTCATGTCCGGACAGAGAAACACATCTCAATCATCTGGATCTTGTTTTCGAACGATTACAAAAACATGGCATAACTGTAAACGTTCAGAAATGCCAAATTGGAACCGACTCATCAGACTTTCTGGGACACACTATCGATGCTCAAGGTATCCGACCCCTTAGACCAAAAGTGGTGACCATTCTGGATTACCCAGAACCGACCACCGTCAAGCAATTACGCACGTTTAACGGCCTCGTAAGTTTCTATAGACGTTTCATACCGAAATGCGCATTACTCATGAAACCGCTGACCGACCAACTTCGTGGAAATGCGAAATCCATTAATTTGGACGACACCGCACGAAAAGCATTCTCCACAGTTAAGGAACTGATCGCTAAAGCAACAATGCTCACACATCAGGACACCGAAGCACCCATTAGTACCTCAGTAGACTCATCCGACTCGACAATTGGAGGAGTCTTACAACAATGGGTTAACAACTCCTGGCAACCCTTGGCATTTTTCTCTAGAAGGTTGCTAGACACCGAATCAAGGTACAGCACATTCGGTAGGGAACTCCTAGCTATGTATTGTGCTGTACGGCATTTCCAATACTACATCGAAAGTCGTGAATTCACTCTTTTCACGGACCATAAATTGCTCACTTTCTCGTTAAGCTCGCCTTCAGTCAAGTACTTTCCCCGTGAGTCTCGACAACTGGACTACATTTCGCAGTTTACTTCAGATACTCAACACATCTCTGGAGCGAACAATGTAGTTGCAGACGCCTTATCTCGCATAACTTCCTTTAACAGTTTCCAAGTAATCGACCTTCTTAAACTCGCCGAGCTTCAAAAAGAAGACACTGATCTTCAGCATGAGTTATCGTCCACAACCCTTAAACTACGCACCAAACAGATGGGAACAGGTAAGGAAACCTTACTGTGTGACACATCTACAGGTAGGGATCGCCCAATCGTGCCGAAACATTATCGACGCAATGTCTTCAATACATTGGACAAACTTTCTCATCCAGGCGTTCGTGCAACCATCAAGCTTATAGCAGAATGGTTTTGCTGGCCAGAAGCAGTACCTATCAAGGACATCACTGCTGAAACAGTGGCTCGCGCCTTCGTCGAACGATGAGTAGCAAACTTCGGCTGCCCTTCAACCATCACTACAGACCGCGGACGTCAGTTCGAATCTGAACTTTTCCGTCGTCTGACCACACTTTTAGGAACCACTCGCTTCCGAAAGACTGCCTACCACCCACAAGCAAACGGGTTGGTAGAACGTTTTCACCGACAACTAATAGCTTCACTATCGGCTGCAAACGTTTCACAGTGGACCGACGCTCTTCCACTCGTCTTATTAGATATGCGCAATGCAGTGAAAGCTGACATTAGATACTCTGCGGCTCAACTCGTTTATGGAACGACACTTTGACTTCCAGGAGAATTCATGGATCCTTCGTCCTCTTCAATGAACATGGATCTAACCTCCTACACGAACAGGCTTACAAACGCAATGAGTTCAGTTAAACCTGCTTCCACTCGACCTCAATCAACTGATGTTTTCGTTCAACCTGACTTACGATATAGCACACACGTTTTCGTTCGTCGAGACTCGCATCGACGACCATTCGAATCAGCATACGAAGGACCCTTCAAAGTTCTTCAACGTGAATCTAAGTACTATATAGTCGATAAGAACGGAACAAACGATAGCATCAGCATCGATCGCTTGAAAGCAGCGTATTTAGAAGGAAATCCTGTTCACGTCGACTTTCCTTCGGTGCAGTCGCACAACATGACTCCTACACTCATAATTCCTCAACCGACAACCAACACACGCGATGATACTCCGAATGTATCTGAAAATAAACTTAAACGATGCGTTCTGGAAGAAGAGTAAGATTTCCAGAACATTTAAACGACTACTGCACGTAAGGCACTACTCGACATTTTATATTATCTCGATCTTTCTTTTTACGATATATGATTTTTAAAAAAAAAGAATTTTAATATGTTTTTATATTTATATTTTTACTTAAAAAAAACAAAAAAAATATTGTTTAACGCTATTACGTGTGCTTGAGTATATTTTCCATTTTTTCGCCGACATTGTGTTTCTATGCACATACGAGTGTATTTCGACATGCACTTACACCTTCTTTTTTCTTTTCCAGGACGGCTGGAAAAGAACGATGCAGTTTACGAGGAGTCGAAATTTTCGTTTTAACTTTTTCTTTTTTTACTATGTTGTACCTCGGTCGCATATAGTAAGGAAAGACGACCAGACGCTGCTACACTTAGTAAGCAATCAGAAGAGTGTTTACCAACGACAAACTCGTTGGGGTTAAACTTCTGGCTGGCCACGTCTTAGGGTCGTCACTGCCCCACTAGGGGGGGAGTGATCTGTAGCGGTAAATAAATCCCCAAAATAAATAGCTCTAAGTTTTCGACATTGGATGCTGACCATATGTTTTAGTGGACTCATCTAGCTGAAGGCGCTCGGTCATGCATCCGCACCAGATCACGTGTGGTAACGCCGTGCTCAACATCTACCGCAATCGCTAGCCAGATTAGATCAGAGAATTCCGATATATTGGTAATCGCCAAATACACTCTTCCGATCTCCTCGACTCTGTCTTTTGATTTCTCTGGGTGGGAACGAAATACATTTGAAGGTGTTACTGGTAGAAGCGTTGTCAAACACTGAATACCTGTGACATCATCAGTCTAAATCCTACTGGCTTTGTGTGTGAAGCTGCAAATAAATCCCCAAAATCAATAGCTCCGTAAGTCTTCACCCTTTTATGCTGACCGCATTAGTTTAACTGGACAGACTCTAGATGATGGAGCTCGATCACACATCCGTACCAGATCACGAATGAGTACGTCGCGTTGCGCATCCCTTTCAGTTATTAGCCAGCTTAGACCAAAAGTTCCTCGACGTACCGATAGCCCTCCAAATATGTCTTCGAACTTCTGATTTGACTGGATTGGCATACTTCGATTGCATGGGTGTAGTTGGTAAACTTGTCAAACTCCGAATACTCGTGTCATCTTTATTGGTGAGCCTGACGTGATCTGGTACATCTATTCGTAAACTTTATGTCTATGTCCTTGTTGCAACATCATATATATTTCCTAATTGCTATTTATTACATATTGTGGTACTTTCTTCATATTCCTGGATACTTTTTACTTCGTTCGTTGCGATACATTATATTCACGGTTCTGTTATACAGAAGCTAGCTTCTTCGACATGTAGTGACAGACCCACATGCACAATCTTTCGCAGCAGCGAGAGCATTGCCGCGCGATTTCAACAAGTACGTCACACGTAGTATACTCATTCGTGATGTTTGGGAACTTTATGAAACTCTAAAATGGTTTATTCTTAAACGCAAAGATTTAACCGATCGACAAAGGCTATATAAACTCAATAGCATCGATCTATAACATGGCCTAGTAACAGACATTTTGTTACGAATGAGAGAGGTCATTGGTCGACGGACTTTTGACGATGGCCAGTTTCGACAGTCTTTCCTGTCCAAGCTTCCTCAACAGGTGTAGGCAGTGCTTGTCTCATTACTAAACAACGCTGCAGACGAACTGGCTGCATCTGCAAACCTGATTCTGAAGACCATCAGAACTCCTAGCGCCAAGGTCAATTCAGACAAAAAATCCATCAGACGGCACGGAATGATGCCACAGACCTCTGCCATACTCTGACACGTTACCTTAATATTCATCATGAGCGTATACGCTCCCACACTCGAAGGATTGCTTCACGAAAACGATCTGTTTCTATATGACGAGGGACCGATAACCTTGAATGGTGCTGGTATCATAATAAGTAAAGTAAGTCTCCTCGGAACTGCGGAGAACTCTGAAGTTTCCCGAGCTCCAAACCAACCGACGCAAAAAACGCTTGATGTAACTTCCCGGCCTGCACTTGTTAAAGGTAACGTTAGCCGGCGAACATAGCCGTCTGTTGTACGTCACTGAATTAATTATGAAGGTTCACTACCTTGTCAACACTGGCGCAAAAGTTGGAGTTCTGAATGAAAATCCTAACGAATGACTGCACGAAGCAGTTTTCAAATTACATGTGGCAAATTGGAAACCGATCGCCACATATGGTGAGCGATATTTGTACCTTAACGTGGGTTTACGCAAATCCATCCACTGCATCTTCATTGTTTCTATTCCAATCATCGGTATAGACCTTCTACAACATCGTAATCTACACACTGACACATGCAAACGAGTTCAATAGACTGAAATACTGGTTTGTCTGTTTGTGTAAATTCCTTTTCCGGCTGTAGGCTATCCACAGTCACAGTTAAGCACACGATCAATCCACACAATCCACAAATAAAAGGTAATATAATATATTTCTGCATGTGCAGGTACACACCGTTTTTACAGGCATGATCTATAAATTACAACATTTTTTGGTTCGCAAAATGCTTCCCAACTTATTAAGTTTATAGTTGTTATAAAGTGAAATCGTAGAGCGCTTGCTGTAAACTATGACCTTGAGAGGACGCGTACGTCAGGTTTTCTCCAAACGTCAGAAGTTTCATAGCTGTGCTCTCAGAGCAAGATTCTGAAAAAGAAAAAAAGAGAAACAGAAGAGCAGCAAGGCACTTGGATATGAACGCCAAAGGTTGCTTAACATTGTGTAGTAGTACGGACAGAGGTAGAATAAATCAGAATAAATTCATATTTTGTATTGTTAGAGTGAAGTGAAGTCCGAGGCTCCATATTAGAGAATGTACTAATAAAGAACAATGAGTTGTGATATTTAACAAGTTGGAGTAAGCTCACATGAAGGAAAGGAAGTCAAGGTTGGTACAAGGGAAGCGGTTTATTAGAAGGGTGTGTATATAGAGGGTGTAGTGTTAAGAATACTAGTGACTATATCTTTTGTTATCTTTTTTTTTTTTTTTTTTGTCCATCCGATGTCGGCCACGCAATCCTAGTGTAAAAGTCCGAGTTAGCATGTTATAGGTTGTCTTAGTAGAATAGCTAATCCAGCATAATATTGGAAACATGAGTCTGAGTGGTGAGCGCAGGAAGACAATCTATATCTCAGATTGACTGTCTTATTCTCAATTATAAAGAGCCTGGCACATACAAAATGTTCTGTCCCCACAAACACGGGTGGATTGAAGTTATCGCCCTCACCATCAATGCTTGCTGGTCAGTAACTCCACCCTCCCTCCTTTTGTGATGTTAGGCTCATTTAGGCTTATTTTTTGTATACACGTCATACCTCACACAATCCTCTGTTTCACAACCTGTTGGAAAGCACTATTTCTATAAGTACCATTTTACAAGCTTATCAGGCAGTTACAAGCTATGGACTGCGGGTAAAGCATCGATGCAGTGCCTCTGTTGACTATAGTTTAAAGTATAGTTTGCCAATCAGAGTATAAGTGTTAGGAAGAGTATATTGTAGGATAGTTGTTTATTTAAGCAGGCGGAAAGAGTATAGAAGTATGAGTTGTGGATAAGGGAACGAGTGGAGAAATAATATTAATTGCTAGTCAACATAGTGTACAGAAGAGTAAAATGTTGATACAGGATAAACAGGAAGTAACTCACAGTAACTTGGTGCTGATGTTATTTTTTGCTGTCTCAACCAGTTGATTGGTAACAGGTTCCATAGATGCAAGACCACTGGTAGTAGGCAGCCGATTGTGCGGTCCTCTTGACTTTTTGGGGTGGTAGTGAGTGTCCCTTATCGACCGAGTTTAGTTTAACAGTAATGATAGGTCCAGTGAGTTACCTGTCTACTTCAAGTGAAGAAATAGGGTGGAAAAAGTAATTAATACAACTGCAAAGTAGGAAAAATAAGGCAAACTGAACTTGAGGTCCATTTTGGTTTAGACATGGAGAGAGCCTATGATGTATGAGTGGGGCGCAGATGTATTCGTACGTGCAAGATCAGTGCGAGTGAGTGCTTGATCAAGCAGTTTCACAAACGTATGTAGTTCATCTGCCATGCGAGTCTCGGAGGGAAGACTGTTCCATATTATTGCATACTTGGTGAGGAAGAAGTTTTCCCGAGTTTTTGATCTGTATTTCTCAACTTTGACCGTAGATACTTTGTTTCGAAGTCCGTATTCATGTGAATCTCGGGCAAGAATTATCTTACATGTTGAATAAGTAAGGTTTTTGAGTAGTTTGAAGTAGAGAATCAAATTAGACCTAAGCCTTCTCTCCCAAAGGGGTGCTATTCCTAAGATTTGGCATCGAGAACTGTAGTCAATGACCGAGTCAGTCTTAAGTACTTTGCGGGTGAAGTCTCGTTGTATTCCTTCCACCTTTAGTATATCACATAGGCGTAGGTTGGAAAATAAGAACGAGCAGTATTCAACGATAGGTCTTACACAAACTTTGTAAAGAAGGATTTTAGATTCATTTTGATAGAAATTACGGAGAATGAAGCCAAGCAATTTCCTCATTTTGGATGCTTTGGCTGAGATGTGTTCAGAGAAATTAAGACTGTGTGAGTAATGTACCCCTAGGTCAATTACTGATGCCAGTCTAGGCAGTGTGTGATTGCTAAGTGTTAGTTTCATTTTAAGAGACGTGTCTCCTATACATAACCAGCCGCATTTCTCTATGTTGAGCTCTAACCTCCAGCGTTTGCACCAGTCATCTACCATGTTGAGTTCATGTTGGATTGTTTGCATAGTACTGCGTAAATCGCAAATGTCAGTTTTATAGATGAATTTTAAGTCATCGGTATGGAGGTAGGTCTTACCTGTGCCAAAGCACTTGCATATATTGTTGATGTAGATTATAAAGAGCAATGGACCCAAGACACTACCCTGCACAACACCACTGGTTATTGGTCGAGGTGTAGATGTATTAGAGTTAATCTTGGTTATTTGATATCTGTTCGTAAGAAAAGACTTGATCCATTGCAAAAGGGGATTTATAATTCCAACTGACTTCAGTCTGTTGATTAGAAGATTATGAGGTACTTTATCAAAGGCTTTCTTAATATCGAAGTATAGTATAATAACTAGTTTCTTCTGGTCACGTATACGAGTAACCTCGTTAAAGAAGTCTATCAGGCATGTACTGCACGACCTTGTTCTAATGAAACTGTGTTGTGACGGGTCTATTTGATCTTCCTTGAGTAGGTGATCAGACAGTTGATTTTGTATCACTTTTTCCATTATGCGTGATATGACTGGAGTGATATTTATAGGTCTGTAGTTTTCAACCAGGTTTCTCGGTCCGGATTTGTGTTTGGGAAGAACATACGTTACCTTCCAGGTTTCCGGATATGTACCTGTCTCTAAAGATAATGTGTATATTTTGAGTAGTAGCGTCTGTATGTCCGGCCCTGACATTTTATAAACGATTGAAGGGATGTCATCGGCACCAGAACTCGCATTTGGCTTAAGGGTTTTAATGGCGGTATGTATACTCCTAATGTCGAAGTTTATGGTACTAAGATAGTTTTTGCCGGTGCACTTTATGTCGATATCTGGAGCATCAGATGTATTCCCATTGTGAGAAAACCATTCACTTAATAGTTCACATATGACGGTTTGGTCATTATACGTTACTCCATCGTGCAGTAAGGAGTGAATGTTGTGGTCTGTGTTCTTTCTTATGCGTTTCGTGAGGAGACGACATAGGGCTTGGGCTTTAGATGCAGCAGCGAGCGCAGTACGTTCCTCTACCTGTTTATGCTTGTTGTGTTGACTTTGTACTCCGTCAAGTACGGAGTATATCTGGTGCAGGGCACTGAAGTCTTTTGATATATAGTACATCCTTTTCAGTTTTCGCAGTTTAGACCTAGTCTTTTGGTTTATATAGGGAGTAACTGTTTTAAAACCAATTTTAGAGGGTATAGTAGTGTCTAGTGCAGATTTGGTGGTGATATTGAATATTTCTAATGTTTCTAAGAGGTTAATACTGGTAAAGAAACTGCCCCATTCAGAGTGCTTTATTAGAAATCGAAAGTTTTCCCAGTCAGCGTTTGCATAGTCTCTATATTGGAATCGCGTGTTTAATGTCTTTAGTTTGTTGCATATGGCAAGAATCGGAAGGGTGCAGAGGACTATTTTATGGTCGCTGTTGTGAAACTTTTCGCCAACCACCATTGATGTTGGTGTGACATTATGACAGAATATCAAGTCAAGAATGTTGTGATTTCGTGTAGGCAGGTGTACATGTTGTTGCCAGCCGTGTATGTCTAAGGACCTAAGTATGGTTTCAATGTACAATGGGCCAGAATGTGTCGTCCAGTTGATGGTGCGAAGGTTGAAATCACCACATACAATTTTGTAAGTGAAATCAAGCGAGGCAGCCTGAGCAAATGACTCACGTATAATAGTGTCGGTAAAACTAGGAGTGTTAGGAGCTCGATATATGCATCCGATTAGTACTTTACATTCATGGGTGTGCACAGTAAGCCATATCGATTCAGGAAGTTTGCTGAGGACGTGGTCGCTATAGATTTCCGCTCTCAAATTTTTTGATACATAAACGAGACAACCACCACCCTTTTTGGTGACTCGATCACAGCGGAAGAGCTCATAGGTGTCTATTTGTAGATATGTGTCTGTGGTATCGGAGGACAGCCAACTTTCCGTTATCAAAACAAGTGAGGGGTTGTTTAGAAGTAATAGGGTGCGTATGTAAGTCATCTTACTTTGTACAGATCGAGCGTTGATTAACATAAGTGTCAGGTACGGTGACTGTTTGTCTAGTAGAAGGGTATGATGTAAGCCCAGTGGATTGTCTGTTTTGCCATGAGAAAAGGAAGAATTGGGAGCGTCGACTCCATATTGATGAGCGTTTAGTTTATTACCAGTAGGGTTAATGCGAGAAGGGTATTCGGGTGTTGTTTTGGTGAAAGAAGTATGTTTAAGAGTGAAAGGTAGAGTTGAATGGCTAGGTAGTGTGTTCGGAGAGTAATCAGGAGGTTTAGTCAAGGAGTTTTTAAGACTAGAGACAGTTATCGAAGTTGAGCAGGATGTGCCGCTCCCCATTAAATCGGAGTATATAGATGGTTTCAGAATAGTGGGATTGTCGCCCTCAACATTTGGAGACCCCATAGCAGTAATGTTGAGGGGGAGAGAGATAAAAAAAGGATGAGATAGTGTGTATGTCGAATTAGGGGGGACTAAACCGTTGTATTGGGTGGCTTGACTTAGATAGTACCTAGAATCAGTAGGTGGGTTCCCAAGTAGGCCAACGTTATGGCTTCCTCGTGTGCGGTGGGCAATTTTAGTCCTATTGTGGTTAGTTGGGGAGGTTGTATGTTTCTGGTAAGGAATGGAGGAATGCTTGTTATTGTTGCCAGGAGAGGTGTTTCTGTTGTGTATAGTTTTGTGTTGGTTCATGGGGCTTACAAGGTTGACACCATATGTCTTATGGGTATCACGTGTGGGTGTTGCCACTTCACTATGTTTGTTGTAGGGCATTCTATTGCTATGAGAAGGTGCATGTTTTGGGTTAGGGGTGCTGGAGTATTGGTGGGTTTTTACGGAGTTTGGTATTATTTCGTACAGCGGTGTCTGAGAGTCTGTAGCTGTTAGCGCAATTCCTGGGAGGATCATTTTTAGGCATTTTATGGGGGCCGGTAGGGTAATACTTGGACGCTATTGAGGCATAAGTGGTTTGGCATTTCGGGGTAGCTGAGTGTTTGGGCTGAGGGTGAGTGGTTGTAGCTGCTTTATGTGCGGTCTTGTCCTTAGGACTAATAGCAGTGTCCGACGTGCCTCCATTTTTTTGGGGGGCAGTGTATGATATTTTAGGATTTGTGCAGTGACAAGAGCTGTAACTGCCGCGGCTACGTAAGCTGGGTTGATCAGTTTGTGTTCCATTGCAGATTCGACGCTGGATAGCGGTCCTGTCATGAATGATCCTGATCTTTTTAAATGTTGGAATACGCCTCAGTAATGACTGACTATTGAGGAGGTGATTAGCCTCAGTGGTACTACCAAACCGAAATAGAATGGGACAGGAGGCTTTAGTGTGTGCTTTACGTAATCTTCTTGTTACACACCAAGATTGCGACAATCCACATTCTTGTAGTAGAGTATTTTTAGCGATTTTTATGTTCGTACTATCAAGTATATTATACACAATGACATTCTGCATACACTGAAGTCTTTTCAACACTTCACTTGATATATGGTCAATTACTTTTTCAGTGTTTTTTATAATTTCCAGATCGGGATTTTCTGGAACACTGATTAAATATTTGTACGGTAATAGGTCTTGAATAGTTTGGGTGAGGTTATTGGAGTTTATATCAAGGTTTTTAAGGTCGATATGGTTACATACAGGCCTGTTGCATGTGTCTAGCGGATGGTCACTTTGTGCACACTTGGTTGGGGGATGTGTCTGGGGTATATGTCTGGGTGAGTAGTCAAGATCTACATCATCGGGCTGGCTATTGTAGGCAGGCTTACATGTACTCCGTGGGCCGCTATTCAGGATGACCGATTGTGAGATTGCTGGGTGTTTGGGGTCAACAGCACTGTCTAAATACTGCTCACAACATGTGGTGCTTTTGTTTGGACTGACAAATGATGTCGACTCTAACGGTTTGTGACTGCTCTTATTTATATCGACAAGCGAGATGCAAGGTAGTGATATGTCTTGTCCAAGTAAACGGTGCACGTTTAGTGTGGGTGAGGGAAGATCAGAGTAGGATGCAGACTAATCAGTGTGTTTATAAGGTTTCACATTACTCGCTTTAGTGACTGATTTAGATCTTTTGCAGGTGCTATAGGCATCAGGAGAGATTATATGTTTTTTAGATGGCCTGGACATTATCGGAAGTGATGTAAATACAAAGTTTAATTAGGTGGACGGCGATAGTTGTAATTTAACTTAGTGAACGTGTAAAGTTTTATGTTAGGATCAGACCCAGTATTAGTTAAGAGTGAATATATTAACGTTAATTGGTGATAGAGATAGCGTGAAAATTAGCAAGATTAATTTATGACGTTGAGTTCCTAAATAAGGTGTCAAGTTGATAGAACCCTATCAGTGACGAATTATTTATCGCTATTAAGTGTTAAATTAAAGAGAAAAACTAATAGGAAAATAAAATAATACCACGTGAAAAAAAGTTACAACCTTCAAAAGCGCGCTCTATAACACTATAATACTCGATATGTACCCCGAGATATACCAAACGCGACCGAAATTGCCGTGTGTAGCCAGCAATGTTACACATCACATAGGACCATTTGCACTCCCGAGAGTGCACCGACTAGCCCCTGGAAGCTAAGAATGGCTAAAAACGAATTCGACAGACTTATGAATCATTCGGCCATCAAACAGACCATGTGCACCTCTCTTGCATATGGCCTCTAAAAATGACATCAACTACTGGTGACTATCGTTGACTGAGCGCGAAAACCATTCCTGATCGTTACCCGTCGCTGCATATTCACGAGTTGACAGCTACCTTGTTCGGAAATCCATTTGAAGTGAATGACCGAATTTCCATGGCTGCTGGCGACTTTCCTAAAATCTCTATTATCACACCGTTCAGCCTCCACGAATTTTCGCGCATGCATTTGGGTTTACGAAACGCTCCACAAACAGTCCAGAGATTCACCGACGACCTTTTTTCGAGGTCTCGACTTCGTACACGCGTATGTTGGTAACTGCTTGATTGCAAGTCTGGACGGAGAATTCTGTCTCCAGCATCTAGACCATGTATTTGAACGACAACAAAGGCACGGGATTACTTCAAACATTCGGAAATGTCAAATAGAAACCGAGTCTCTAGATTTTCTCGGAAATATCATTGATGCTCAACGCATCCGACCTCTAAAACGTAAAGTCGTGATCATTAAGGACTACCCAGAACCCACGACAATCCAGCAACTACGCACATTTAACGACCTAGTAAGTTTCTATGGACGGTTCCTGTCGTATTGCGCGTCCCTTATGAGACCTTTAACATTCCAACTTCGTGGAAATGCGAAATCCATGAATTTGGACAACAACGACAAAAATTCATTATCTACAGTTAAGTAACGTACCGCCAAAGCAACAGTGCTCACACACCAGGACACCAAGGCGCCCATTAGTATCGCAGTAGATGCATCTGACCCGGCAATCGGTGGAGTCTTACAATAATGGGTTAACCACACCTGGCGATCCCTGGCATTCCTCTCGAGACGACTGGTAGACACCGAATCGAGGCACAGCGTCTTCGGAAGAGGACTCCAGGTCATGTATTGTGCTGTAATGCACCTTTAACACTCTGTTGGAGGTAAAGAATTCACGCTTTTTATTGATCATGAACCTCTCACCTCTTTAGGCTCATCATCAGATAAGTGCTTTCCTCGAGAGTCTCGACAACTGGACTACATTTCGCAGTTTGCTTCAGATACACAACATATTTCTGAGGCAAACAATGAATCTGAAGACACTTTGTCTCGCATAACTCCCTTGAACAATTTTCAAAGAATCGATTTTCCTAAAGTCTCTCAGCTTCAAAAAGAAGACACTGATCTTCAGCACGAGTTATCGTCAACAACTGCAAAACTGAGTATCAGACAGATGGGAACAGGTGATGAAACCTTATTATAGGAAGTATCTACAGGTAGGGATAGTCCAATCGTGCCAAAACATCGACGCAACGTCTACAATACGTTGCACAGACTTTCCCATACAGGTGTATGTGTAACCATCAAGCTCATGGCAAAACGATTTTGCTGGTTTAGTAGGAATGAAAACATGAGAGAGTGGGCACGCTCCTGTGTAAGCTGCAAGAAATCTGAGATAAGACGCAACGAATGCCCCTTAGGCTCTTTCAAGACTCACGATGCTCGTTTCGACCATGTTCATCTGGATTCGGTAGGACATTAACCAGATTGAAATGGATACTCTTATTTATTAAGCTATGTAGGCCGTCTCATTCGACGGCCAGAGGCAGTACCTATCAAGGACACAACTGCCAAATCAGTTACTCTCTCTTTCGTTGAGCGATGGGTGTCAAACTTCCGCTGCCCTTCAGCTTTCATTACATATCTTGGACGCCAGTTCGAATATGAACGTTTTCGTTGTTTGACCACACTATTAGGAGTCACACGATTCTGAACGGCCGCCTACCAACTCACTGTATCGTAACAACTACCGATACATGATAGAGAACAAGCTTAGGCTAGAGAAAGAACAATATATTTAATATGAATAGAAGATATAGGGTAACATCCCGCAGGGACCACGCCTGCATGGCCGAGCCATGCCATTCGATCAACTCCAATCAATTCAATTCCTTGTTCGCGCTTTCTCCACCGTTAGGTATTTCTCCGCGTGTGATTCGACATGCATTTACACATTCTTTTTGTCATCCGGGACTGCTGGAAAAGGTAAAAAAAGAACGAAGTTCACGATGAAGAGAAATTTTCATTGTACCTGTTTCCTGTTGCTATATTGTACCACATTGCCCCTTATAGTGAGGGAAGACGACCAGATGTTGTTATACATAGCAGGTTATCAGAAGAGAGTTTACTAACGACGAACTTACTATGTTTAAACTTCTGGTTGGCCACGTCTCAGTGTTTACACTGCCTCACAAGTGGAGGGCGGAGAGAACCATAGCGGTGAAGAAATTCCCGAAATCAATAGCTCCGTAAGTCTTTAACCTTTCATGCTGACTGCGTCAGTTTAATTGAACAGACTCTAGCTGATGGAGCTCGATCACGCATCCGTACCAGATCACGATTGAGTATGTCATATTACGCATCCCTTTCAGTTATTATCCAGCTTAGAGCAAAAGTTCCTCGACTTACCGATAGATATCCAAATATATCTTTGATCTCCTTCATTTCTAACTTCTGATTTGACTGGCTCGGGAAGTTTTGGTTGTAAAAATTGCTACTGGTTAAGATGTCAAACTTCGAATAATTGTGGCGTCTTTAGCACTTGGTGACTTCCCTATTCATTGTGCTCCCCTAATGTTTCTCCATCTAATGTGGATGTCTTTTATTTTTAATTTTTGGAGAGGACGTAGCAGGGGCCATATTTTTAGCAACCAAAAACACTACTCAACTACCAAGGAGTAAATTCCATGAGACAAATAGTCCTCTACTTTTATCTAGTAAAGTTTGAATTTGAAAGTTTGGAGATGTGATTATTGAAGATAAATGAAACGGAGCTAAAGCTGAAGTCGAACGCAAGTTTTCCTTCGGAAAACACACCTAAAGAATCCTCGTAAATTAGAAGGAATTCACTTTTCTTGTATATAAAGTGTTCTGAAAGTCAACTAAATCAAAGAGAATGTATATGGATTGCTGCAGGTTGATTGATATAATCACTACACCTAAAACCGACAACTAATTATAAATATTGTCTTACAAAGAGTGTAGCTCGAAGAGAGTAGCCAGTTTACAGCATCAGGACACTGCTCGACGAAGATTAGGTGTAGTGCGCTGTTTTCAAACTGAAACGTTACTAGTCTCTTAAGTAGTGTAGTGCGTGCATCTGTTCGTCATAGAAACCTCAATACTTTAGCATTCGCTTATAATTTGCACATGGTATGATTTTGTTTTTTCGCTGATTCTGCGTTACCTCATTGTGACGATTGTGCCTTTGTATTTTTACTGCTATCATAAATTCACTTTTTAGTCACTTGGATCTCAAGTGATGTATAATGCATAATACTTCCCTGACATATTGTGTTAATTCTCATTAATAGGTGTTTTATTTGTTTTTGAGAGATGTTGCGTTTCGGGGTAATATGCATTTGCATTTAAATATACAATTGTGTTTTAATTGCATTTAAATATATTTTAAACCTATTTATTATTTCCTAAATACCAGGTGTAAAAAAGGAAACAAATATTGTCATATTTGTAATTAAAATATGCATCTATCTAATTTATTTCTGTCAGTATGCCGGCCCTATATCTTCTCTTATTAGATATTAAGATTTCCAATGAATTTGGTTCGACAGGTCAAATGGTTGCTAATCTTTTCCTAACTTATTTCCGTGCTTTTCATTTTCACTGAATCAGTCATGTCATAAACAGCTGTTCTGCTAACTTTTAGGTGTCCGTTTGCTGGCACAAAATCTTGCATCCGATAGGGTTGTGGTCCTCTTGTTATATCCTTGGGGTGTCATTTTGTTTGAAAAGGAGGGGAAGGTGAGTGGACTGTGTTCCTCCTGGCAATGGCGGTCTCTGAGTTGATCCAGCTTTTTAAAGTATCGACAGATGGAGCCTAAGTCATGTGTCGAGGTAACGGATTCCATTTGTTGGTGATTCGATGCAAGGGTCGTTAGTCACCTGAAAAGTAATTTGTTCTGGTCTTGTGAGAACTTTTACAGTGTGTTGTCCTAAACTTTCTGTTTTTGAAAACAGGAAAAATGAGGGCACATCAGATGCAAAGTTATCACCAAGTAACTTAAAAACTGTTAATGAGTCACCTCTGGTTCTTCTATATAACAAAGGGAGTAGATTTAGTTAATCCAGTCTGTCGTCATATGGGAGCTTTGGGATTGCGCGTATCAACTTGTTTTCTGTTCTTTAAGCCTTTTCTAACAGTACGCTGTCTCTTTTTGGAACTAACCTCTTGTATGCAATACTCAAGTTTATGACGAACGAACATTGTATACAATGTCCGGAAGGTTTTAGCATCAACGTGGCTAAAGGCTTTAGGTATGAGAGACCATAAGTTTCTAAAACATTTGCTGACCATTTCAGTAGTTTTTATTTCCTGGCTAACAATGACTCATAGGTCACTGTGTATCTAGGCAACAGGTAGCTCAATGTTATCCACCGTATATATATCTGTATCATCAGTCAGCCAGTCAGCTACAACGTAGGACCAGGGACATATGTGCATCGGTCCAGGTTGTCATACCGCATCAGCACAACAAGATGAACACCGGATTCATAGCAGTGGTTAGGTCAAAGGTAGTAATATATAAGAGAAAGATTGCATAAACTCGTCCTTTTATTGATAGACGGATATCTCGCCTTCGCCATAGGTGACGCAAGTTGGCAAAAGCCAAGCGAGATTTTCAAATCCGTGCTGAGGTTTCGTCAGACACCAACCCATTAGGGCTGATCAGACTTCCAAGATAAGTGAAGTTGTCAACGCGTTCGACTACTTCACTCCCTATCCTTAGTTCAGGTGTTAACGCAAACCAGTCCTGAAGCAACAACTTGCATTTAGAGGGAGAGAAGCGCATTGCAAACATCCTGGCATTGTTGCTCAGTGCTACCAGAAGACTCTGCATTTTGTCAGCGTCTTCACCAAACAGGACTATGTCATCTGCGTATTCTAAGTCGATAAGTGGACCACCTGGTACGAGATCAATACCCGAGAACTCAGTCGACGAGAAAGTTATTTCCATCAGTAGATCTATGATGAAGTTAAACAAAAATGGAGAAAGTGGACAGCCTTGACGGACACCACTTGACGTTGCAAAATCAGATGACAGTTTGCTATAAGTTCTGACTCGACTAGTAGTGTTCGAGTAAAGAGCCTTCACAAGGTTTATGTACTTCTGAGGTACGCCTTTCAATGACAGGCACTGCCACAGAATCTCGCGGTCTACCGAGTCAAATGCTGCTTTTAAGTCAAAAAAGACCACCATTGTCGGACGCCGATAAGTATGCCTATGTTCTAGAACCTGACGAATGGTGAATATGTGGTCGATGCAGCCACGACCAGGTCTGAAGCCAGCTTGATTCTCTCGTGTTCGCAGTTCACGAGTCTTGGTTAAGCGTCTGATAATTATCGAGGCTAGTATTTTAGATATTATATTAGTTAAACTAATCCCTCTGTGGTTGTCACAGGATGATTTTAACCCTCTCTTATATATTGGGACGATAAGTGATTGTGACCAGTTAGATGGAATAACGTCTAACTCCCAGATTTTAGCTAAAATATTAGTCAACCTAATCGCTAAAATTGGACCACCATCCTTAAAGACCTCTGGAGCCAACCCATCTGGACCAGCTGCCCTTCCTCGTTTCAGATTAACTATAGCCTTTTGAACTTCTGCTAGAGTTGGGGGACCTTCTTCAATGTTCCATTCACACTGTCTGGTAATGGTGGGTAGTTGTAGAGTAACTGAAGGCCATCTGAACTGTTCTTTGAAATGTTCCGCCCATCGTTCTAAACGTCTGGACTGAGAGCAGATGAGGGTGTCATCTTTTTCCGAAATAATCTGACTTACACTTGACTTAATAATTCCAGTTTCTTTTATTAGTCTGTAGAGCTGTCTTGTGTTCCCTATAGCCGCCGCCTTTTCCATCTCTTTTGCTTTCGTTGCCCACCACTGCTCACGGTCGTTCCTTAGACTTTTGCTTATCCTAGATCTGATTTGTTGTCGCTCTTCATCATGTTCAGAACCTGATGGGATGAGTTTGCGAGAATCCATCAGTGCAATAGACCTAGAGGAAATCCATTGGTTCTTTGTAACCCTGTGGTTTAAATCACCGATAGATGTCACTGCTGTTTCCACAGCAGTTTGTATAGCTTTCCAAGCAACATCTGGGTCAACCTCGTCTCCAGAACTACCTAATTGTGACCTCAGTTGTTCCTGGAACCTACTTTTGGTTTTCTCATTACTCAATTCAGTTCTAATGGGTCTTTTTACTGAGGCTTTTTTGCGTCCAGTGAGGCGCGAGCAGATGCGTGCCCGTATTAGGGCATGGTTGGAGTCCATGCAGGTACTCCAGAATGAACGACAATCTTCTACCGACCCTCTCCAACGATGACTGATGGCAATATGGTCTATTTGAGTACATCGTTGGTTTGGTGCAGGGGCTCGCCATGTTAGACGATGTCTTAAAATTTGTGTTTGTTAAAAATAAACGATTGTCTGAGCACAGTTGCAGCAGACCACCACCATTACCTGTTCTTTGTGCCGGAATACTAAAATACCCACCTAAATGCCTTTCTGTTTGGTTTAAACTACCTATCTGGGCATTAAAGTCACCTGCTACGAGTACTATGTCTAAACGTTTAGCTTTCTGAAGAAGTTCAGATAGCTTTCTGTAAAATTCATTTTTCACTTCATCCGAGCTGCAGTCGGTGGGAGCATGGGCAGAAACGACAAAAAGGCAACGACGTGTATCTCTATCCTTCTGAGTTCTTACGGAGCCGTTTAGCCGAACAGCACATAGACGACTGTTGACGGGGATCCACTCTAACAGTGCTTGTTCCGCCCTCATGCTTAGTGCTATGCCTACTCCTGCCAGTCCACGAGAACTGGCCATCGGGTCACCAGATACACGGAGGGTGTATCTCGTTGGCTCTCCGTTTTGCCGAGGTGAGGTCAAGTGGATGACCACACTGGAATCCTGTATGCGTTTTTCGGAGACACAGCATACATCAATGGAAAGAGACTAGGGTTTTAGCCAAGGAAGCCTATTGACCGATTTGACATAGAGTGCGTACGTTGAAGGCTCCAATGTGTAGTTTGGAGCGAGGTTTCAGTAGACCTGGGACAGTGTTTTGAGCACTAGAATCGTTTGCTATGGTGACATTTGAGGAGGAAGCCGAAAAATGAAGTTTAGAGGTGAAAGTCGATGTAGGAGGAATAATAGAAAGTGAAGACGGAGGTTGATTATGAATGCAGTGGTCTTGGGTGCTGTTAGAGGTATGAGGGCGGTTATCACTTCGTCGTTGCCCACACTGGAAGGGTTCTTCTGGAGGTACCTGAAAAGGAAATTGAATTAGAGGTGGTCTCAGTGACCTGAGAGCGTGACCGCAGTGCCCAAGAGACAACTGCTTGAGGCCGGTCGCGCACGGCCTTTTCGTGGGAGGTTTTTGACGTGTTAGCTCCGTTCTTCAAAGGGCCTTACCGCCGGAGACGGAAATTTGTGAGGTAAGGTGAGGTGCGCATTTTTAGGGTCGACCTTTTCTAACCCCACCCCTCCTTGTGGGAAGGCAGCATCGCTGTCATGCTGGTTGTCTGAAGGAAACACCTTACTGTTGTCACACCTCTGTACAGTCAGCAGTACGACTTCGCCTTCGAACCTTGGGTTTGTTGCTTTTAGTCTTACCGCTCTTCAACCGACCTGTCTGACATGGTAGGACCTTGAGTAACGGTTGTTCCAGCCAGTGTAGCTCGGTTGCTTCATCACGATAGGCAAGCCCGACCACCACGTCAAGGTAGCAACAACGGTCGGGATATCTGTATCATGGTGACCAACGTGCATCACAATGCACGTGGATGCGTTTGTCAGCGACTGACAAATTCTAAACTATTCAGCTAGTTTCTACAGGTCATTTTGAAACACTAAACTATCGTATTCGTTTTTTTTTTTATTGCTCTCCATATCCTGATATTGTCAGTATATAACAGAATGGATAATGTTGTGAGACTAAGGTTATTTACATACAGGAGGAATAACACTGGCTTTAAGTCTGTACACTGAGACACTCCACTAGGCACAGTTTACCAGCTAGACAATTTGAGGTTTGCCCGTACTCTGTGTTAACTCTGAACTAGAAGGTTTCTTATCCGCATAAATAAGTTGACTCCGATCCCGATATCACTTAACTTTGATAGCAGCCGGTTGTGAGGAGCTTTCTCAAAGCCCTTACTGAAGTCAATGTAGGTTGCATCGTTAGGTAGCTTTGGTCATTATAAGCGCATCAACTTTTTCAGGCCACTTATAATTTGTGAGACATGAATAGTATGTTCTAAATCCATGTTGATTTTCAGAAAGGATCTGGTTTTCGTTTAGATATCTTTTTTAAAACTTAAACAACCACTCTATGGGTCGAAATTTCCCAGGTTTGTGTCTCACACCTGTTTCGGAAGACAGTACTAACTATAGCGTTTTCCAGTCTTTTGGCAATCTACCTTGAGCTGCAGATAGATTTAAAACATATCCTTAAGGGATTTTCTAATTCCTGTGGTAAACTAGACTGCATTTCATCGGGTTCCATGGATTTACCTATATGAAGCTTATTTAGCAAACCTAAGTAAACGGATTTGTATAGGTTGAGGGTTTGTATGTCAGTCAGTCAGTCAGCTACAATGTAGGACTAGGCACATATATGCATCTTTCCAAGTTGCCATACCTCATTTGTATGAACAGGATAGGGCTTCTCTACAGTATACACTTTGCACTGGGGCGTATGTAATAACCACGTCAGTTAGCTTTTGTTCGAAAGAATTTCTTGATAACTCAGTCCTCAAAATTTCCCAGTATACCATAGGTCCATCAAAGTCTCCTAAGACTAAACATCTACCACTCGAAGACCAAGTACTGAGATCGTTCAATAAGACCTCATTCAACTCACAGTTTGAACTGCGGTAGAGCAAACCATTTAGTAGCTCTTATCCTTTTCTTTTCAAGTGGCAACTAGCTAATTCGCATGTCCCACTTTTTGGGATATGTTATCAATAATGGTAAATGAGAAAGTATTCCTAATGAATTGAACTACTTATCCTTTAAGACTGTGTGTTCTGTCGGCTCTTACTAATGTGGAACTTTCAAAATCAAGTTCCCCACTGTCTTCAAACTGAGTCACCTAAATTTCTGTGATGGCGATTACATCCGACTTGCTAGTGTCTATCTGCATACCTATCTCCAATAGCTTGTTGAACAAGCTCTGGGCATTTGTGTATCAGATTTGAAGCCTATTTAAATGGCATCGTGCTGCACCCAAAGTGGCTTCAAGATCATTATCTGTTGAAGCCTCACCACCCGAAAAATTGCAATTCTCACGTATTTCTCGCCAGTGTTTAACCTTATTTTTAGTTTTTTTCCAGCTTCTCGTCCTTTTATACGGTTCACGAGCAGACAAGACCCCTGACCCCTTTAGTTTATGTCCATTTTGTAGAATTGAGTTACTTTCATAGGGAAATTCAAATACTACTTTTAGCAGACCGGTCTGAATTCTTTTCGAGTTCATTTGGCTACTCAGTCTAGAAACTTTCAGCAAGGTCGCTCCAGAGATATCTTGAGGCATTAGCTAGTTAAGTAGATCTTTTATCAATACAACGTCATGTTCAAAACGAGTTCTGGGTTCTGAGCTCCCATTCTCCTTGACTCTATAAAAAATAGCTGACTTGTCACTATGATCAGTCTTCGATTTCCCAGCTACTTTTCGAGAGACTGACTTTCCTTTGGTAACATGTCGTTTCTTATTCTCTATCTGTACGCACTCGTCAGCTTTCGTTGGAGTAGCAAACACAATCGTGTCACACGCTATGGGATCCAAGATGATTGTCGATGACTTGAGTTGTCAGGTTTTCGTTTTTGCTGCTATAAACAAACCTAGCCTTACGATTAGGTCTTTTAAGTGTTTCCTGCTACCTGTCATTTGGGGGACGTGGGGCAGAAGAAACTTTTTTTCCTGAGCTTTTACTTCTGACAGACCTTTGAACTCGGTTTTTCCTGCTTTGGCCCAAGTAATTCAATCGATTCTGAGTTTAATTGAGGTAACTTCGCATCAATTCATGTATCGACCGAGCGAGTACCGTCTAATGTGTTTCGACTACGCTTACTAATACTCACTCACCACTGTAATGACTTCGGATAGCAAGCTGTTTGTGTATAAGCAGCACTGCTGACACAACCACACGTAACCATTTTTACTAAACCGTTTAAAAGCAGCAGGCGTTAGATCCGTGCAAACTTCATAGTACCATCATTTGCACTCCTCTCAGTGCATGCCACTTTTTACAGAGTATTGTCAGCGTGTTTATTTATTTATTTAAACACATAAACCTAGGTACAAGAAGGCACCAAATAGATAAATCATTCGGTCTGTGTGAGGGCTAGGATACTGCCCGGGTGCCCAAACCGAAGCAGGTGGTTTTCTTAGGGGGCCACTCCCCGAGCCTTCGACCTAGAGATCTAATCCACAGGGCAGTGGAGCAACGTCAGGAGATGCAGTCTCATGGTAGCCGGTGACCAATGTTTGGTTCATACGCCATTTGTTAACTTAGGATCCTGGAGCCTATGTGCACCATTGGTTTGGAATCAGGGTTTTCCAACTCTCCTAGGTGGACTCTCCGTGTCCACCAACCAGGTTAAAGCGCCGGACATTCGCTTTTCGTCCTCTCATTTTCGTAAACAACACCCCCACCACGAGAAGGCAGTGAGTAGAACTTCCCTGGCAGTGGTTGAATGCAGGAGGCCATGTAAGAGCATTTAAAGAGAGAGAGTTGACTCTGTTCATTGTCGGCCGTACCAGGGCATTTGGGGGCGTTATTGAATGCTTCTTTTGTACTGTCCACCCATCAATCCGAGGTTTTCAAATAAACATAATAATAATATGAAGAATCCTTACTCAGTACGTATTTCTCCGTGAATTACCAAAGTTTACCTAAAACTCGACAGCGCTGTCTTTGGTGAACCATCGTCTAAAATGTAAAGCACCCACACAGTGAAAGGACTTCGAAAGGCTGTCCCCGATATACTGAGAAGACGTGAAACGTGTTTGTCATCTAGATAGTAGTAATAAGTATAGGCGGCTTTCAAATATCCTTGCAAACTTTAGAAACTTCTTTAGCTTAATATTTGTGTTCTAGTACAGGTTTTATTCTCCAATATCTTTTCAAAATTCTTAGTTTTCGGATACATGCTATCGTGTTCTCGTCATGTATTTCGAAATTTTTCTACCCGCATAGATTAATATTTTCCCACTTGTATTAGTATTTTAAATTAATGGAAACTGCAAACGTTAACTTATGGCCCTGATCAATTCTAATAAACCGGATAGTGATGGAAACTTAACTGGATCTATCGTACGTCGTTTACATTCACCCTCTCAATCTTCCGTGTCTAGTGAAGAACTCCTCGTTTGGTCTAAAGGTTAGTTAATTTTCCTCCCTTTTTAATGATTGAAATATTATTCATTATTTTGACATTTTAGGCTTTCTGGTTGACATAGTTACGTTTCAGTATATTTGCTGAACAGCATATATATGTACAGAGATAAAATTATTTTGAAGCGCAACCTTAAGCCTTGTTTTAGCTCACATTTATAAGCTTGGTAGTTTTTAAAACTCACAAGTGACTAACTTTTAAAAGCATTCCTTAATTTCTAGTAATAAGTGGTTACCTTTGCAGTTCAGCAACGTCGGTAATCAGGTGGATATTGCCTATGATAATGGATGATAGTCGTTCACTATAATCAAATTGACTGAATTTAGAAACGTGAGTGCCCTTCGCTGTGGAGTCCCATACTAAAGCAAAAAGCTATCAATT